ATAACACAAGGTGATCCCCTCTCCCCTATACCTTTTAACTTCGTTGTTGATTGCTTTTCTAAGATGTTAAGCTGTTAACACAATTTAATTGATGGTTTAATACCTAATGTTATTCATGGGGGTGTAGTGAGTCTCCAATATGCAGATGATACCGTTCTATTCTTGAATAATTCTCTAGATCATGCTAGGAATCTTAAGTGGATCCTGTCTTGCTTTGGGAAACTTTTTGGTATACAATTCACTTTCATAAAAGTGATTTACATCTATTAATGTGAAAGAGCATTTGGCTAACTCTTTAGCTTAGATTTGTTGCTGCAAAATTGGTGATTTTCTTTGAAATACCTGGGCGTGCCTTTGCACTATAAAAAGCTTAGGAGGGAATTATTCAGCCTGTGGTTGGCTGGGTAAAATCCTATCTTATAGGGGTAAGCTGATTTTGCTTGATACTTGTATTGCTAGTATTCCCGCCTATCTTATGTCTATGACGAAATATTTCAAATGGACTATCAATGTTATTACCTCCCAGATGCCTCATTTTTGGGGTTAATCTTGGAGATGAGCATAAATACATCCGGCTAACTTGGGGCTTGTGTCCAGGAAGAAATCTTTCGGAGGTATGGGATTACCAAAACTTAGGGATTTTAATTTGACTCTCCTTGCCTCGTAGAGTAAAAGGTATTTTGACGGTTGACCCAGTGATTGGAAAATATTGCTAGATACTATTAAATACTACACTAATCCAGGTTCTGGATCCCCATTTTGGAAAGGCATCATGTGGGCTTCTACAATTTCCAGACCCTTTGTCACTGGAAAGTGGGGGTGTGGGAGAAGCATTGCCCTTTTTTAAGTCGGCTCGGGAGGATCTCGATTCATTAGAAAGAAGAGGAGAGTTGACAATTAATATATGAAAAACCGGGCTAAAACAGTCACAACAGCCCACACAAGACAGTACTGGCCAACTTGACTATCCACACGAGAGAAGAAAAAAGGAAAGCGGGAAGAGGCAAGAGCGCAGAGGCTCCCTCAAACAATCTCAAAAATAATATGTGAGTCGAGCAAAGCGAACAAGTAATGATCGAGGAAAGTAAAGCGGTCATGCCAAGTTGTAGAGCATCCATAGACCTGTCGCCGGCTGATTCAGAGCGCACACACGTTGAGAACACTATGTTCTCCCCTACCTTTCCCTACGCCCTTTTCGCCACATCTTAACTTGATATGCTAGTGCAAGCATACACGCCTTTCTAACGATTGATGTCGACATGAAATATACTTTTCCTTATGTAGTAGCAGGTGAGCTTCCGCCGGCCGGTTGTATTTGATCGGCCAGACCTCAGAATACGATGCTTTCCTTGCCGCAGTTGACCACGCCGAACTGCGGAAGTGGCGGCCGATGGTTTATCATAGCAATGAGGACGACAACGACGACGAGGAGCTAGCAGTAGCACTAGCATTTGACCTTGAGGAAGAGGCTGCCCACGCGGTATATAACCCCCCAACGGACACACATCCCCAAGACACGAACATACCGGCCTAGGGGCGTGTGCGTGCGTACACCAACATCGGCCACCTTGGCTTACATGATGGCTGCGGCAGTCACTCGCAGATCCAACGCCCTCCGCGTCGACGTCCCGGATGGCGATGCCGTTGCCGTCTCTGTCATGGCGGACTCCCCTGTGGCCAAACGGGGCCTTGGCGCCAAGGACGACGTGTGGGTTGCCGCGGACGAAGGGGTCATGTCCGGCGACGGCAACCGGCCTATGCTGTTCCGGACCATGAAGGTCAAGGGAAGCATCTTGCACCCTTACAGGTCGATGATCATTCCCCATTCTGGTTTTCACACTACTACTATACCTCTGTCCCGTAATAAACATAGTGCGCGTTTGATTGTTTTTTTAAAGGTCATACTTTGAGCAAGTTTGTAGAAACAGTTATCAATGTCTAGAATACAAAGTCAATATCAAAATTCATCATGAAATATATTTTTGTATGGTATATACCATACATTATATATTTAAGATAGATAATCTTTTATTCCATCTGATTCAAAATAAGTGTCATGGTTTTAGTTCAGCACGACACTTAGTTTGGATGAGAGGAAGCACATGAATTTGGTCAACATTTAAAAAGCTTTGCGAAACCAACGCTCACTAGCAATGTACAGGACGAATGGAGGACTATGATTCTATATGAAGGATTTCACAATCCTACACTTGTGAATAATATTATCATTTCGTAATAACAGGTTCTTGATGCTCGTGCGCTTGGTCGCCGTCATCGTCTTCTTCAAGTGGCGTGTGGAGCACAAGAATCACGACGGTGTGTGGCTCTGGACCGCGTCTATGACTGCTGACGCCTGGTTCGGCTTCTCATGGCTCCTCAACCAGCTCCCCAAGCTCAACCCCATCAAGCGTGTTCCGGACCTCGCCGCCCTCGCAGACCGGCACGACGATGCCACCCTTCCAGGGATTGACGTCTTCGTCACCACAGTCGATCCCGTGGATGAGCCCGTCCTATACACCGTAAACACCATCCTCTCCATCCTCGCTGCCGACTACCCGGTCGACAATTACGCATGCTACCTCTCGGACGATGGTGGCACATTGGTGCACTACGAGGCGATGGTCCATGTTGCCAGTTTTGCTGCATTGTGGGTCCCGTTTTGCCGAAAGCATTGCGTCGAGCCAAGGTCCCCCGAGAGCTATTTTGGAATCAAGACACACTCGTACGCTGGGGGTATGGCAGGAGAGTTCATGAGGGATCGTAGGCGTGTGCGCAGAGAATACGAGGAGTTCAAGGTGAGAATAGACTCCCTATCTACCACCATTCGCCAACGATCTGATGCCTACAACTCCAAGAACAAAGGTGGTGTAAGTGCCACTTGGATGGCTGATGGGACACAATGGCCGGGTACATGGGTTGAGCAAGCCGAGAACCACCGAAGAGGACAACATGCTGGAATTGTTCAGGTAAAAATTCCGCCTCTTCATGAAAGTGAATATCTCAGAAAAATATTTTGAGTAATGTGTTGTAAGTGTATAAAATAGATATTCAGTTTACTGTGAGTTGGCAAATTTCTGAAGTTCATTTGCTCTTTTGACAGGTCCTACTAGACCATCCAAGCTGTAAACCACAGCTTGGATCACCGGTGAGCACCGACAACCCATTTGACTTCAGCAACATTGACACGAGACTTCCCATGCTCGTCTACATTTCCCGAGAGAAGCGCCCTGGTTATGACAACCAGAAGAAGGCAGGCGCCATGAACGTGATGCTCCGTGTCTCCGCGTTGCTCTCCAACGCACCCTTCGTCATCAACTTTGACTGCGACCACTACATCAACAACTCGCAAGCTCTCCGTGCCCCTATGTGCTTCATGCTCGACCCTCGTGATGGTCAGAACACGGCATTCGTCCAGTTCCCGCAACGGTTTGATGACGTCGACCCAACTGATCGCTACGCCAACCACAACCGTGTCTTCTTCGACGGCACCATGCTTGCGCTCAATGGCCTCCAAGGGCCTACCTACCTCGGCACCGGCACCATGTTCCGTCGTGTCGCACTCTATGGCATCGAGCCGCCACGCTATAGAGCAGAGAACACTAAACTTGTGCGTAAGACTGGTGAGTTCGGTTACTCGACGTCGTTCATCAACACGGTGCCAGATGCCGCGATCCAAGATAGATCTATCGCCCCGGTGCTAGTCGATGAGCGCCTCAGCAAGGACCTAGCTACCTTGATGACGTGCGCTTACGAGGACGGGAGCTCATGGGGGAGAGATGCCGGGTGGGTGTACAACATCGCCACAGAGGACGTGGTGACAGGATTCCGCATTCACCGACAAGGGTGGCGTTCCATGTACTGCTCCATGGAGCCGGCAGCGTTTCGTGGAACGGCTCCGATCAACCTCACCGAGCGCCTCTACCAGGTGCTTCGGTGGTCGGGCGGGTCCCTCGAGGTGTTCTTCTCCCACAGCAACGCCCTCATCGCAAGCCGCCGGCTCCACCCTCTGCAGCGCATCGCCTACCTCAACATGTCGACGTACCCGATCGTCACGGTGTTCATCTTGTCCTACAACTTCTTCCCGGTCATGTGGCTCTTCTCCGAGCAGCTCTACATCCAGAGGCCGTTCGACACATACATGGCGTACCTCGTCGCCGTCATAGCGATGGTGCACTTGATCGGCATGTTCGAGGTGAGATGGTCGGGAATCACGTTGCTAGACTGGTTCCGCAACGAGCAGTTCTACATGATTGGGGCGACCGGTGTGTACCCAACAGCGGTGCTCTACATGTTGCTGAAGCTCGTCACGGGGAAAGGGATATACTTCAGGCTCACATCCAAGCAAACGGAGGCCTGCTCCAACGACAAGTTCGCCGATCTCTACACAGTGCGGTGGGTGCCGCTGCTGATCCCAACCGCCGCAGTCATCATCGTCAATGTCGCGGCCGTCGGGGCGGCGGTAGGCAAGGCGGCGACATGGGGCTTCTTCACAGACGAGGCGCGACATGCACTTCTCGGGATGGTGTTCAACATGGGGATCCTCGTGCTCCTCTACCCGTTTGCACTTGGCATCATGGGGAAGTGGGGGAAGAGACCCATCATCTTGTTCATTGTGTTAGTCATGGCCATCAGCGTCGTCGGGCTCTTGTATGTCACGCTGCACGCCCCGTACACAGGAGAATGGTCACAAGTTGCCGTTTCTCTCGGGAAAGCATCACTGACCGGGCCATCTGGATCTGGGTAGGGACGTACAACTCATCTTTTATTTATATTATTATAGTGCAATGATTTATATTTATCACAACACAATAATTTAAATGTTTGGGTACATATGTAACCATCGTTCGAATTGTTTCTGGAAATTTCTAATTACCCTTGTGCACCCTTTTTTTTTCGGACTTGTTCCTGAATTATTTTTGAACATCACGTCTTCATGTGAGCCTCGTCCAGCGGCGGCATGAGGCCGACCGTGTCTACCTTTTGGGGTGGGCGCGTCCATTTCAGTGCTGAATCCTCTTGTGGCTCTTGTTATAGGCGTAGGAGCTGGCGAGCCAAAGGAAGAGTACGAGCTCATCTGCCGAGAGTCCGGCGAGCAGCCAGTAGAAGTAGTCGAGGTGGGCGCGGTTGAGGTTGTCAGCAAACCAACCATCACCACCACCACTTCTAGTAACATGGTCGATGAAGGATATGAGGGCGCTGCTGATGAAGCCGCCGATGCCCATCACGCTGAAGTAGAGCGCCAGGCCGAGGCTGCGCAGCTCGCTGGGCATCTGGTCGTAGAAGAACTCCTGCATTCCCACCACCGCCAACACGTCTGCCACCCCCATCATCACATACTGCGGCACTAGCCACACCCAGCCATACTGCGGCACCGTCGCCCCGGAGTCATCCACCAGCCCGTGCTCCCGTGCCGTCTTTAGTCGATGGCCCTCCACAAGTGCCGCTGTGATGATTGCGCCCATTGACACCGCCATGCCCGTGCCCATGCGCTGCAACAGCGTCAGCCCCGATGGCTTGCCTGTCACGTGCCCTAGTGCCGGCACCAACAAACGGTCATAGATGGGGACAAACAACAGGATGCTCGCTGGCCCAAGTGTCTGAAGTGCGGCCGGCGGTAGCTCAAGGCCTCCGAAGAAGCGGCGATCCAAGGTGCGGCCCTGCTTGTTGAATAGGGTCATGATTTGCGCATATGCAACACCATACGCCAGGCATGCGCCCAAATCGGCAACAGACGGAGCATGTTGCGCGCCTCCTCGGACTTGGCCACAACATCCTCATCTTGGTGTCCATTTGTACTGAAGGGGAAGCTTGAGCTCTTGATGAGTGTGCCAAGGCTACGACCGAGGCGGGCGAAAGGACTCTCAACATCGGTGGTGGGGACGCAGAAGCGATAGGTGGGGGTGCCAGAGAGGAATATGATGAAGGTACAAACCATGATGGCACAAAGCATGCCGAAGCCGATTCCCCAACCGACGTTCTCCTGGATGTAGCTGACGACGGCGACGGAGATGGAGATGCCGACAGCCATCGAGAAGAACCACCAGTTAAAGAGGGAGCTCTTTGGGATGCTCGGGATCAAATTGGTCGGCTGCGAAAGCCAAAGCGCACGGCTTGTCGGCGCCCTGCGCCAGGGCGATTAGGTAGAGCGAGGCATAGAAGAAGGCCACCTGTAGCGACGAAGGGCCGGAAGAGGTATGGATGTCGCCGGCCGGCAAGGAGCTTTGCTCCAGTAGAGTGGACGCTAGAGTGACCATGCCGTATCCCTGCATGGATGCACACAATTTTAACTTGCTTAGTGTTGGCTTAATTTTTAATAATCACGAAAAGGAGAAATTTGCTAGGCCCTAGAAATTGTTGACAACCATTTTTGGGGCTCTCTTAATGCTGAGAGACAAGCTAAAAGAAAATCATACGTAATTGAACTTGATTCACATCACGATTAATAACATGTCGAATAACCTGAACTTAGGTTCAACATGGGATTTATAACATGTGATTTACTCTAATATATCAAAGCAAATCAAAATCATGAGATTTATTTTTGCAGAAAAGACCAAAGGACATGTACATATTATATAAAAATAGTCCTGACAAGAACTCCCATACAATAACAAAAAATTACAGGTGAGTCCTTAAGGAAAAAAAAGTGAAGTTATGATGGTATGGATCGCAGTGTTTTTACGAGAGAATTACTATCCGATCCATATTAATTGTCGCAGATTTAGTAAGAATTAAATCAACGACAATTAACATGTTGCGTTTTTAGGATTAAAAAAACAATTAGGTACAAGAAAAATGACAACTTTAGAAAAGACATGGTCAAGCCAAGAAAAGGAGATAAGTGCTAATCGATTAACTTCTACTATAATGTTCAAAGTCGACATCACCGACGATTCTTTGAGGTGGACCTAAGCGACCATTACTCGGTTGGTCGATGGGATACGCATCACAGATAGCTCACAACCATGCATTGGCATGCCGACGACCAGATCTTTCGTACTCACAACCATGTGCCTCACGTGAAGGATGGTGAAAAAGTTATTTACTCAGTTGTTCTTACGATTGAATCTACTACCGTACGAACATGGTGATGATGTAAAAACAGAACGGGAAGGGGAGATGGATTTACTACTTACCAGGACGTAGAGGGTGCAGGCGAGGATGATGGAGCGGTGGCGGCCCAGCCAGGAGTCGGCGACGAAGGCGCCCAGCAGCGGCATCAGGCAGGCCGTCCCCGACCATGCGTTGACGGCGGCGGCCGCCGCGGCGTTGGAGTGGCCCAGCGGCCCCGTCAGGTACGTGATGACGTTCGACGAGACGCCGAAGAAAGCGAAGTTGCCGGCGATCTCCAACACTGCACCCACCGCCGGATCCATCAAGATGGCTGCTTAACGAACCAACTGTGGGAGAGCGCGTGCGTACCGACGACAAAGAGGGCGGAGCGCCAGCCGCCGGAGCCGCCGCGGCTGACCGGGAGGCCTCGGAAGTCGGAGACGCCGGCCAGCGGCGCCGCCTCGTCGGGCCGCAGCAAGGGCGCCTCGGCGTCCGCCATCTCTCTGCCTACCTCTCCTCTGCTCGCGGCTGATTTTTTCCTCTTGGCTGGCTGGCAGTGGCAGTGGCAGTGGCAGTCTGTCAACGCGCGCGGGCGGTCGGCATATGAGCACTCGTGTGGGCCGGCGACAGCTTAGCTTTAAATTTGCTGCCCCTATTTTCCTCCACACGTCGCCCAGTATCACTTGTCAGTCACTAGTTGCAGGATTGCGGCCCCTCGTAGCTCCTGCTTGGAATAGAGTGAGATATTTTGTGGTGCTGTCACTGTGATCCGGTCAGACCTGCCCATCCAAGAACAGACAGAATGCGATTTCAAGATGCGGATTGATAACAACGGGAGGGAGGTGTGCCAAATTCACCTTTGACCTGCGTCTCGGAGTTGGCTTTGATCCGCCGGCTTCTATACATCCTTTTTGTTTTCAAAAAATAATAATCAAATCTATTTTTTGCGGGATAAATCAGATCTATTATAAAAGTTCACAAAGTATAAAATATTTTGGAGGTCATCTCCCCTGTTCAAACTGCCTTTGTTAAAGGCAGATATATCATGGAGGGGGTCCTGATCTTGCATGAGGCTTTGAATAGCATTAAAAAGAATAAACAAAGTGCTATACTTCTGAAAATTGATTTTCAAAAGGCTTATGATAAAATCAAATGGTCCTTCCTTTTTCAAATGCTCAGACTAAAAGAATTTCCAGATAAATGGATTGACTGGGTTATGGAAACAGTTAGAGGAGGAAAAGTTTGTGTCAAAGTTAATGAAAATTTAGGAAAATACTTTTGCTCTTATAAGGGCTTGAGACAAGGTGATTCTTTATCCCCTTTAAATTTTGATCTGGCTGTTGATGCTCTAGCAATTATGTTAAATAAAGCCAGAGAAAATGGATTGGTCAAGGGGGTTTTGAGTGAATATACAACTAATGGGGTTAATATGTTACAATATGCAAATGACACTATATTTTTGCTGCAAGATGATATGGACAGTGCACACAACTTGAAATACATTCTATGTTTGTTTGAGCAAATGTCTGGGTTGAAGATTAATTTTCATAAAAGTGAACTTTTCTTATTTGGTGCAGCAATTGATAAGAAAGATGAATATGCTAAAATATTTACATGCCCAGTGGGTGCTCTACCTATGAAATACCTAGGATTGCCTATTGATAAGAATAGAGTCAGCAATAAGCATTGGAAGCCTCCAGAGACTAAGATGGAAAAAAAGTGAAACTTGGCAAGGTAGACTTTTAGCTAGTGCAGGGAGAGTTACTTTGATCCAATTAGCCCTTACAGGCATACCTTACTTTATGATGTCCTTTTATGGGCTCCCAGTGGGGGTTGAGAAACGTATGGATTTTTTTAGGGCTAGACTATTATGGCAAGAAGATGATCAGAAGAGAAAATACCATTTGGTAAAATGGTCTGAGGTATGCAGGCCAAAAGACATGGGGGGCCTGGGGATACAAAATCTGGCCTGTATGAACAAGGCTTTGCTATGTAAGTGGTGGTGGAAAATATATACAACTGAGGGATTGTGGCAAGATATAGTTCTAGAAAAATATGTTAAGAATAGAAGTATGGGTAATGTTCGGGCCAAACAGGGAGATTCACAGTTTTGGAGGGAAATACTAAAACACAGAGACCATTTTGTCTCCTTGTGTAAGTTTAAAATTGGAGATGGTAAAAGAGCTCGATTCTGGGAAGATTGGTGGATTGGCAATGCTCCATTAAACAAGAATTTCCCTAGGTTATATGATCTATGCTTCGATAAAAAGAAAACAGTTAAAGAAATTTTTGACAATGGATTAGATAATGTTCAGTTTAGAAGAACTTTACTAGGAGATGCAAGAGAACTGTGGGGGCATATTAAAGAGGCCTGTAGTGTGGTGACATTGAATGAAGATAGAGATGAGATAAAATGGACTCTCAATAAAAAAGGGAGTCTATACTGTTAAGTCCTTTTATAGACACCTGATTGAAAACGGTGTCAAATATCCACATTTGTATATGTGGAAGATTAAGATGCCACCTAGAATCAAGGTTTTCATGTGGTTGGCCCTTAGAAAAAGTATTCTCACAAAAGATAATTTGATTCGTAGGGGGTGGAAGGGAGATGATAAATGCCCTTTTTGTGGGCAAAAAAGAACATAAATCATCTTTTTCTGGCTTGTTCGGTTGCTAGATTGTTATGGAACATCTTAAAGTGTGCTTTCAATCTTAAAGATATTCCAGATACATTAGATGCTGTTATGAAACCTTGGGTAAATACTTTTGGAAAGGATGAAAAAAGTCTGGTCATGATAGGAGTATCAGCGATTTGTTGGACTATTTGGAAACTTAGGAATAGTGTGATATTTGACAACAATAGGGTGAATGATCCCTGTGTTCCTGTTACTTTGTTTCTTAAAAACCTAAATGATTGGAATATTTTGCAGACAAATCCCGCAAGAAGTAAGCTGATGGAGGCTGGAGTAAAGCTAGTGAGTGAGGTGGCAGAAGAAATTTTCAAAGCAGCGTATGGGTGGCGCCTGAAGACTGGGAGGATCGAAGGGCAACTGAAGCCCTCCCTGCTGCGATGGAAAAATCTTGGCTCCTGCCTTTTCATGCTGGCTTTGCTTCATTTTGCTGATGTTCAGACTGAGTGGATGATCCTGTAATATTGCGTTTGCCATAAACCGGTAGTTTCTCTCTGTAGCCTCTGTTCTTATAACAGAGACTGTTGCCGCTCTGGGGCTGGATTCTCCTGAATCTAGACCTCGGACCACTCTTGTAGGTTCTCTCCACTGTCTTTGGGCTTCGGGGAGGAGAAGGGATGGCTTCTCCTCCCTCCTCAATATGGCAGTAGATTGATCCGTTAGAAAAAGAGTGGAGTATCGTGTTGAGGGGAGTGTGTTCCTTTTTTCTTTTTTCTGTAGCAAGACATGGTGATTTCTGTTAATGGAAATCGGAGAGAGTGCTCTCTTTTATCAAAAAAAAGTATAAAATATTTTAAACATAATGTAACATCCCAATTTCCTCAATTTGGGTGTTATTAGAATCTTTCTTATGCATATTATTTTTGTTTGCATTAATTGATTTTTCTGAATATTTCATGTGGTAAGCAACCGAAACAGTTATGAAAAAAAATAAG